GCAGCAGGAACGTCTAACACGCTGTGCTCCCAGGTGAAGGAGTGTGTTGGGCAGGATTCCTCTGAATCACGACTATTAATGACTCCAAACTATTGCTAAAACGTATTAAGCACCGTGTCCCTAAGCTTATGTTGAGACAGGGCAGTGACTAACCCGGGAAATGCAGAAGAGTGGTGACTTTCTGAGGAGTGACTCGAAGTAAGAATAGCAAATAGGCCTGCAGAAGCTCATTATGTTACAGGGCACGAGGTCACGTTGCCATGTCTGAACACAAGGTGATTAGGCTCGAGAAAGGTCAATGCGGCCAGTTCCCAACCCCGACTTCCAACCAAGTTGCCTGCAGACAGAGTGGGGCAGAGCAGCACAAATAGACAAGAGTTACGAGAGTAGCTTTGTGGGGGGACACAACCAAGGAAAAGACAATTCTGTGAGCAGCCTGAGTAGATGAAGGGTAAAACGTTGTAGAACGATATGTTACCTAGAGTAAGATTGAAAAAATAAAAGGTAGAGGTCACTGGCAAACAGCAGAGTTTTATTACTGATCTCTAAAACTCATCTAGTTCCATTGCATCCTAGTGAAACGTCAAGGAATTAAACAGTAATAAAGCAATTACAAAAATAAAGAACACCCCCCCCACACACTTCCTCCTACCTTACTTGAAGTTACTTGTACTTTCTGTTATAAAAAAAAGGAAAGATTAGTGTACTCTGCATTTGAAGAGATCGGTATCATTAAATAAATAAGAACTGTTTGTATTTTAAGTTTCCCAAGGTCTCTCTATCAATCACTAGCACAAGTCTGAGCTGAAACCAGATTACTCTGCTGCAAGATAAACTTGATAAATCCAGTTTGAGAAGTGCCAACTTCACCTTTACTCCAAGCTCAACAAGCCCTTTTTCTGCACTTATGTACCGCCAGCCGGACCTTTATATCCGCACTCACTATTGAGTAGTAATGGCGATAGGTGTCGGAGCAGTGTCGGTTTTATGCTGACAGGAAGCAGCCTGTACATAACGCTGTCTTCAAGCAACGATTATTTATCACGGTCAGTCCTTTAGGATATGGAAGCCAAAGTACTTAAATGTTCTTTGTAACACCCATCTTACTTTACTTATGTTAGAGAAAACTTAGGGTAGAAATTTTGTAATACCTCCTGTTTAGGTATCTGGTAACTTCCTGTTCTTGGTTGTTTTCCTAAGAACAAAAAAAGCTGGTTTCCTTGTTGTGGTGTTTACTGGAGACAGCGAACCATGCCAGCGCTGACAGCTGTCCCTTGCTGAACAAAACCCTTTACAGCCTAAGGGTGCGACTCTGGCCTTGGGAGGACTGGCCGCTGCGAACGCTGACGGGCCGAGCGTTTGTTAAGGAGGAAAGGCTCGTGGGCCATCTGAGTCGCTTTAAAAGTCAAACTGTTAGAGAAACTAAGTACGTCATTAAATCAGACATGCTTTATATACCCAGCAGTTTTGTTTCATATGCAGAAATAAGTGTTTATTTTCTTCTAACAAGCTGCTTGTTTCTTTCAGGAATGAAAGAAATCCCTAAACCACCACAGTGGCTCAAAGGAGTTCACAGCAACTAAAACTGCTTTACTTTCTGCTGCTTTGCATCCCAAAAAGGTTCAGGCTGATAACCAGAAAGGCTGGGAAACACATTAACGACGTGGAATCACGAAGGTGATGGAAACACTGTTTCCTCCTTACCATACAGAAACCTGTTACCTGTGCCCACAATCTGCCACCAACAGCCGTGCACAAACGTTACTTGTACTTTTTCACGCACTTACTTTTTGCTCGGAAGTGAGTGGCACACCGTGCATTTGCGGACTTCAGCGTTCCTTGGCACAACTAACTTCTCTTCTTCAGCCAGGCCCGAAGCAATCTGAGAGACAAATGGAAGAAGTCTGAAACCTCCTCCTCTCTGTACTGTTAGCTACGTTTTTCTGTCCTGTTTACTCATGCCAAGAAGCGAGAATGACACAAATGTAAGTTGGTTCCTTCCATGCCGAGTGGCTGGTTTCAATACAGTCACAGAGCACTGTTTATCTTCTCCTGCCTATTGGAGATGAAGCAAATCCCAGAAACCCCCTTTGCGGGGGACTTTAAAAATACCCCACTGAAAACTCTTACATATGGGAAGCTAAAACACAAAGGAAAATAACTTACTCCAGATATACAACTCCTCAAACTTAGCTACTGAATTGGCAAATACCGAGTTACCTAGTTCAGTGAAAGGCTTGGGCAAATGCTGATTTTTAAAGAATGGTACTGACCTCAGAGTTGATGAAAACAGTTCATAGACTAAATTCCGTCATCAGACCAACCTTCCTTTTAAAACTGTTGCTCCTCGCAGGACCACAGCAATTCTGTCTAAATGATTTGGCATTAAGTAGTTGTCTGAGCAACACAGGGCCGAGAATCACAGGGGACATTTTAAACTATGCAGTCAAAGTGTTGGCTCTTTATCATGGATGGGGTTCTTGCTTTGCTTTAGTTCTGCAGACATGTATTGCTAGTCACCAATAATATGTATCACAGACAATGGTTAATGGTGAAAGAATGCTGTAGGCTGTAACTATGAAATAAAGCTAAGTGTAACTTTCTGACTCACGCCTATCTGTACTAGAAACATCTATGGGACAGGCTGAAGGGGGTTGGTTTAGTTTGGGTGGTGGGATCCTGCCTTTTTTTACACCACTTGTTCCTCTAAATGCGTCTTTACAAGTAAAGGAATAGTGTTAGGTGCCTTTTCTTACTCCTGCTGCCAGTCCTCCACTCACTCAGTTACTGCTGGGCTGTTGATGATGTCATGCTCTTCCTCACTGGGAGAAAGAGCCAGGTGTAAACCTGCTCACTGCACTGCTCTTCAAGTATGTCCAGCCTAAGACTGGCCTGCAGTTCCAGAACCCAGCTGAGAATTTGCACAATTAGCCAAAATTACTTAAATTGCCCTCACTTTAGCTCTACAGAAAGGTTTTAGTTAGTTAAAAATTAAATATCCTCGTTTGAACGAGGAGTGCCTCGCCCCAGTGATTAAATATCCTCGTTTGAACGAGGAGTGCCTCAGCACTTAATCAGCAATTACTCAATTCTAAACTAACTCCCTCCCTCATTTCTGGATAGCAGTTCGATAGAAGGTATGTACACCCAGAGTTAACATCCTAATGACACAGGACAGTGTCGGTGTAGTCTATCCCAGTAAATAATTATTTTGGTTACACTGTCATCTAGTGATTTTTTTTCCCCTTTGGTGAACTAAACAATAAAAAGAAAGAAAAGAGGAAGACCGTGATGTTTGTTTACTGCCATCACACTGTTACTGTGCGTTAGTGATTTTTTTTCCCCTTTGGTGAACTAAATAAAAAGAAAGGAAAGAGGAAGACCACGATGTTTGTTTACTGCCATCACACTGTTATCTGTGCAGAACTCTGCAGCTGCCCCAGCTAAAGGAGCCCACTTGCCGACTTACCGTGCTCTTTGCCGTGACCTCAGCCGGCTGTGACCAGTTGGAAGCCCCACACACACAGCTCAGGAGAAGCTACGGACAGCAGAAAGGTGAGTTATTAATGGCCGGCCTTCCTGCACGCTTGGTTCAGCCGCTGCAAGGGTTTACAGCACATTCACTCACTCACCGTGCTGCCCAGTCGCACCAACCCATGTTTCTTTAACTCCGTAGGACTTACTTAAGCCCACATAATAGCACGCCGCAAGCTGTCGATGCCCCCAAGGACAGAAACAGGCCAGAGCTGGTGGGCCCATGGTGTGATTTTTTTGGGGGAGAAAGGCTGTGATTAGGGAAACGATCTGTTTTGTATATACAGCTGGGGTCATCATGAATTTGAAAACACCGTGACTGATCCCCATAGTTGAAGAGATGGTTAACATACATAGTACTTACTTAAATAAAGCCCAGTTTGCTAATTAGGAAAGATGGATGTCCATACTGTACTTCCCTAAGGCTTGTTCGAGCATTTGAAGGCATCTGAGCAGCGTAAATGCTACAGAGCTGATGGGCGTAACAACACGTTTTACTCCCAGATAACACAAAACAACAAATACCCGTCAAAAAGCTAAACTAAACTAGGAGGTGAAGCATAGTGACCATTTGGGGCTGGGTTTGATTTCAACCAGATTTATGTAAAAGGCAAATTTAGTATTTTTTTATAAAAGTACAGGTTATTTGCTATTGCCTCTTTGTTGAACTGAAACTGGTTTACCTAACATTACTTCTGCTGGACCTGAGAAACACATTTTTCTCCTTTACTTCTTTCTGTAAATCCTAGTTATCACCCTCATTACAAAGGGTATACTTCAGAGAACGTTCCACCTCAAGTTCAGGTAGGTCCACTGAGACTTCTACATTTTTTTCAGGACAAATTAGAAAAATCAAATACAGCATTTATGTCCTATATTTACCACGCTATCCTTACTGCCCTATCAGGACTGTCCTTATCAACAGTTTTTATTAAATAAAACAGATCTGATAGCACATGAAGTTTCTTAAACTGAAAAGTAGGAGAAAATTGTCTCCTGGTTTCTATTACTGACCCTCCCACACAACTCAGTGTGCAATATGAACACTTATCTGCCCCAGCTGTAAAACACAAGCCAAATACAGCCCTGGTCCAAAAGTTACTGGCGTCTCTAGCTTTCTGTCTGAAGAGGCCACATAGGCTTTGAATTCTCCATGAAGGTAACTTACCTTTACCTTGAGAGTACTCTGCTGGTGTTCTTCCGTATTTTCTATTTCATTACTTTTATAATTGTGGGCATCTGAAACCTGAATTAAAAAAAAAAATACAGATGATGATCAAGACATGAATCACTTTTAAGTACTCCTGGCTTTTAGGGAGTTCTTAGTCTGTCATTCCAATAAAAAAACGCCGTAAACAAATCCGACATTTTCGCGCCACCCTTCCACACGTTTGTGAAACTCACTGCTTGCTCAAGCAACCAAGACGTGTTTGTACATCACATACAGCACCGCAGGAGCAGGCAGGAGAAATCCAAACATGGCCAAGTCCTTGTTGTGCCTCCAGGTCACAAAGAGCTTTACAGCACACATCACCTCACGTCACCTTCCCTACCCCCAGTACGGTGGGGCGGCATCCCACCACAAATGCCCGAAAGGGAGCTCACCCTGGCAGCGTTGCTGCAGGGACAGATTTGGAGCAATGTCGCAGGCAAAGACTGTTTCCAACAAAAGGGCTTCAAAGCCCTTACTGAAAACGTGGCAAAAGGCAAGACGTACACAGACGTCGCTCAGGAAAGCAGGTATGCATGAGAAATGATGATGTCTACAAAGAGTACCTTTAACAGAACAGAGATCATGCAATGCCCCAACGATGGGTGACATCATTCAGAGTTTTCAGGACAAGTAATAAAATACGATACCACCAACTTTTATCATTCAATGCAACATTTAAGTCAAAAGGCTTGCAGGTGGGGGCAGTGCCTCTCCTTCGCTTGCTTCCTACCACTGAGGAACTCCTCAGCTTTGAAAGCGAGTAAGCAGGACCTGCCTGTAGAGCACTTCATCCCATCCTAAAGGCTTCGTCAGGTTGGTACAGAGGCGGTTTCCTGCCAGCTCAAGGCAGGGAGCCAGGCAGGGCAGAAGTACAGACTATACAGAGCAGGGATCTGTGGAAGTACTGAGATACAAGAATTTTACTGCCATGTGACATGGTGCCTTTTTCAAATCGTGACACCTCCACGGTAACAACACAACAGCCATCACAAATTCTCTTAAATATTTGCTGGGAAAAAGTGCACTGCAAAGAATCTAGGAACTGCGCCTCAAACTGCTGAAGATTCAGGTGAAATTTTATTCATTTCAGAAGATTTTAAATGCCACTTCCTAGTAAAATCTTATGCCAAGAATACCAACCACTTGCTTTAATACAGAATTTCAGTTACTGGGGAAACACAGTTACAGGAAAAAAAAAAAAGGTTCTACCCAAGTCTTATCTTCTGTTGAATGAATACATACACAAGATATATATAAAAAGATCCTACATCACTCGAACTACATACACAAAGTAAGAGCGTTGCACACAATACCAGTTCCTCTCAGGTTTCTCTCTGTCCAGTACGCACATTCCTTTATTTTCCCTTCCCTAACCCCAACTTCCACGTCCTTTCCTGCACAGCCCCGATGTCAGACCTGCAGCATATTGCACAGGCCTTTTCTTGTCCATCCCTTCCTCCTTCCATCCATCACAGTATTACTGGGTTTTTAAACCACCAGAGCCCTCCTAACAGCTTCTGCCCCTCCTCTGCCTATTCACTATCCTGCTCGGACAGACAGTTACGGGAAATGTTGACATCCGCAGCTATACAGACGTGTCAATTCTGGGAGAAGGAGCAGAAGCATTGGTGGGAATTCCTAACTACAGAACAATACATAGGTGCAGCCTCAAGTTATCAGCATCTAAGCAGCACTGGACGGAACCAGCAAAGGGCCAAGTAGAAGCACACGTTCTCCTAGCGGTACCATAAGTGCGCAAGCAAAAAGTATGACAATCTTATTTTTTAACTGTTTGAAGTTTAACACCACATGGGTAGTAATCTATTAACCTTACCGCTGCGTGGGTTAAGTCTCAAGGCTTTTCCTCTCTTTCACAGACCTTGTTTCCACAGTCTTCCTTCTCAGCTAGGCTTTGTTGTCCACACGCTGCCAAGAGAAGAGGAGACAAACGATTCATATAAAGAAAGAAACGTTCAAAATGCTAATGCAGTAAGCCAACTGAAGAGAAGTGGTAACTCATCTTGAGACCTCCCACTGGACAGGCTGCCTGTAACCGTCCTGCTACGTTTAACAACTGAGTTTCTCCATCCAGCCGTCACAAAAAGCAGGGCTCCCACACACTGTACCAGTCTGCACCTGCTTCAAGGCCTGCATACTTTCCCGTATCTGTACCTTAGCTGCTAATAACCAACTACATTTGTGGGGTTTCCAATCGCTATTCCCTCCCTCACATCCTGAAACACATGTTCCTTACAGATTTTAATGTTCCACAAGGTATGACATTTTCTTCCTAATCAAAAAGAAATTTCCTTAGGTAGACTCACGGACTGTTAAACCTCAACACCAATTTCAACTTCTGTATTACAAAGTTACAGAACTTCACCATTCTGTAATAGAACGATGAAGCTGTAAATGAACTGAACTTCCAGCATCCACCATATACTTTCTGCTATCATTAAGTATGTTAAAAACCCCTTTTGTGCCATTTACGGTATGTAGTTTTAGGGCAAGAAAAAACTAGATGCAAGAGAAAATCTAGGTAATGAAGCTGATACCCCACAGTGTGCCTCACTCTTAACAACAGTGGATACCACTCACCAACTCTGAACTAAACAACTGACTTAAACAACAATCTTACACTAAACAACTGTTCCTCACAGAAAGAATTAACCCACATATGTAAATTATCAGATCTGTAAAGGTCAAAGCCTTTCACTGCACTCCTTGGAAGAAACACTGTTATCCTCAAACACACATTGGAAAATGTAACCGTTACTATAGTTCATCAGTGAACACCAAGTATGAATAATAAGAGGTATCAAAACATCATCTGAATGCAATGCTTAAAAGCCCGATGTCCAGATTTTACACTGCTGTCTAAACGCTGCTTCTCCAGAAGTTTAATTTCTGTCATTTCCAGCTCCCACGTCCTGGTCTGTACCCCAAGAACTGCAACAGACTCCCAGGCAATGAAGGATTAAGTCTTTCTACAAAGTTGGCTACAGAAAATGTTAAAACACTCCAGTACCTGATTATTCCGTCCGTCTGTAAGGTGGAGAAATGAGCCAGCACGGATGTGAGCTCTGTCACAGTCAGAATGATCATCTTCAGTCTGCTATGAAGAAACTCCTTCAGTCTATGTGTTTAATATAACGTTCAGGAATAAAGCATTAAAATTGTCAACAAAACACAACCTTAATCTCTAAGATTTTTTGAATGCTACGGCCACCTCTTCTGATTGCTGGGCATACAAAAAAAAAAGTAGAATAAACAAAACCCAGATGAATAGGTTCATGTCTGCATTGATTCTGATTTTTAGCACAAAACCTACGAGCTCACTGGCTAAAAGTCTGTTGAAAATCCTTGATGAAGAGTTCATTTAATACCACACTCTCTTCTTAAAGTTTTTAATTTATTATTGATGTCATAATTCAAGTATTCTAAAAGAGAGGGAAATTAAGAAAGCAGTATTTTTAGTATTTCATCTTGCAAGCTGTTCTTATTACACAGATAAAAAGAAAAAACCTACCTGGCTTTTCCCAAAATATGTGAGAAGTTTTATGTTCTCTTTACTTAAAGGAAAAAATTTCAAAGGAATGTCAGTATCACATTTGATAATTATTTAGGAATAAGCACAAATACATTACCTGTAACTTTAAAGGGTCAGTCAAATAAAACCCCAATACTCTCCCCTCAATACTCTGATAAATGTATCTCAAGTAATCTGTTTACTTGAAATGTTATTACATATTAATTTAGCGAACAATGTCATTAAAAATATTAGGCAAATTTACACAGAATGAGACTTTCCTAAACACCAGAAATGAAAAGCAAACTCCAAAAAAATTGGAGTGCAAGAGATGCGTTTTATTGTATGCCCGTTACGATGAGTAACACATTTAGAAATAATAATCCCACATAACAGTGACAATCTTATTTTACAGCGTGTACATCATTTTTTACAGCCACATAAAACACGTATTTTTCTAAGAGATTTCCCAAATTTAACGTTCTGAAGTTTAGAAATATAAAAAAAATTTATTCTCAAGGAACTGATTCTCATCTGGTGCAAAAACAAAATATGAACATTATCTGAAACACAAAGCCACAATATAGCATGAAGTTACAATTTATCATGTGAACAGCTGTGTGCAAACATGAAGCAACTAAAAAAGTAAAAAATACACATTATATGCATAACATTTATGAACAGGTTTTTCATTAAATAGCCCTAGACCAGCTTGTTATATTAAGCGCCATTTGATTTGCAGCATGCTAACACAAAGCATTGTTTAAAGGGATGCATATTTTAAATGTATACACTGTAAACTGAAGATCCACCTCCAAACTCTAGTGGCAGCATATTTTTTCTGGTTAAATACTGCATATATACTTTCTTACAGATTGAAAATGTATGTTTATAGTATGGTATAGACTTTTTTTAAAGAATTGATTAAAAGGTGCAATTTTATGTCTATATCGAAAATTTCATATTAGGACGTAGGACAATAATAGTCATACCTGTTAAGAACACTGCCCTAAAGAACTTCTAAGTACTCTGAATTTTAATTAAAAAAAACCCTACATTTTTCAACTTTGTTTTTAATATTCTTTTTAGAGAAGACTTTAAAGTAGTGAGAAAAAAAAAATCAGTGTTGAGTCACAACACTATGAGCTGCATCCATTTTATCCTTAAAAAAAAAGAAGTCAAATTCAAAGTTAATTTTGTTATATGTGCCATACTGAACAACATTCAACTGTAGTTTCAGATAAAAAAGGGAAATTATATACATACACATCTTTAACCCTAGCACCAGAACACCACCTTTGAGATCATAACATAATGCTATATTTTAAACATCGTTTCCTGCAATAAAATAGGTTAGCAGCTTTGAAAACCATTAGAAAATTACTTGTTGGACCTAAACTAATAAAGGAAACAAAACCGTTTCCTACTGAAATGTGTTTTTTAAAAAAAAAAAAAAAACCAACAACAAAAAAAGGGACAACCCCCCCAATTTGACCAGTTCTGGAATTTAATCTCCAGGCACGATTTAAAAACGTTATGATCAAGTGACTAATACTCTCCTTTCAAAACTGCACAAGAAGTTAAGACTCAGTTGCCTTTGCGAACAATTTGTAAATAACCCCACCACGTATCTGAACTGTGTTCAGATTGGAAACAAATGCTGTTACTGACAAAATGGGTAACACAATCACCTTCCTTTTGTCTTCTATAGCTTAACAACATGTAATACTATTAATTTGAAGACATTCATCCATCTGTCTGCAAATTTAAGACATTCAACCATCCTTCTGCATTCTATAGTGCTCTTTAGGTTCTGTCTGATAAGCAACAATCATAGGGCTATGAGATCCCCTGTCAACCCTAATACTTTTAAGACTTTTAATACAAAGAATGTAAAGTTATGATTTAATATCAAGCTTTGAAACCAGGAGAAACAGTTCATGAGATTTTTTTTTTCCCCAATTAGCATATCACAGTTTCTAAATTGCTTCCTTCTTGAGATCATATATTACATTATAGCCTCTTTGTGGTGCCTCATTATATGCTGATTTTTTTCAGATGGTCTACGGAATCCCTTTTTGCAATACTCACACCTATGTGGATAGTCTTTTGTGTGTATGGATATTACGTGTCGTTTAAAGCCTGACGCATCCGTAGTGCTATATTCACAATACTGGCATTGATAAACTTTTCTTCCACTGTGGGTCTTCATGTGCTTCTTAAGTTCATTTTGCTGCCTAAATCCTCTTTTACATCTTTTGCATTTAAAAGGCAGGTCCTTGGTGTGAACTGAGAGGATATGCCCACTAAGTACAAAAGGATCTGATGTTTTAAAGTCACAGTGTCTACACTGATGTATCTTTTTACCTTTATGGGTTTCACTATGCTTTTTGAGCTCAGATGGACGATGGAAGCCTTTTTCACATACCTCGCATTTGTGGGGAAAATCCTTTGTGTGAACTGAAATAATGTGTCGCTTCAGGTCACTTGAATTGGTGCTCTTATGGTCACAATGTGGACACTGATGAGTTTTATGCCCTTGAAATAACTCTGTGTGCTGCTGCAGTTCTTTTTCATCTGTAAACGCCTGGGGACAGTGCTCACATTTAAATGGCAAATCAGTCCCATGTTTGGTTTTGATGTGAGTTTTCAGATTGGACTGATCAGCACATCTGAAGACACAGTGCTGACACTGGTATGGCTTTTCCCCAGTGTGGGTCCTCATATGCTTTTTCAGCTCTGACGGATGGCGGAATCCTTTCCCACACTCCACACAAACATGAGGGAAGTTCTTACTGTGAACTGCAAGTAGATGTCTATTGAGTAGTCCCTGCTCTGCAGTTTCATAGTCACAGTATTTGCACTTGTGTAGCTTGGGCTCCTTGTCCCTCAGTATTAGTTTATTAGAACTCAACGGGCTTGCTTCTCTGTATCTTCTTGTATATTCTGTAAACTCATGGGTTTTATCAACTTTATTTATAAGTTTATGGCTTTCCAGATGATTGTGGAAACTTACTTTTTTGTTAGTTGTAAAGTCACAGTCTGTACACTGGTATTTCTTCTTAATCATATGATCTGGATGATTCTTCATATGCCTTTTCAAGAATCCTCTGGATTTAAATTTTTTCCCACAAATATGACAAGGGTAAACTGTTAAGGGCTGTCCATCAGGACCTATTATAACAGCTGTTTTTAAACAAACAAAAACAAGTTATGAAGGAAACAACTTTACTGATCAAGAAGTTTTAAATCAGCCAACTGCTGTTCAGATTCATGCACTTACACTTGCAGCAGACAGAGAATGGTTCAGTAGTTTAAAAACAACCAATCCACAGCACCTATAGTTTATATAGTTTTGTTTCAGAAACTGCTCAAACAGATCAGTGATATCATATGTGCGGTGAATATATCCACAATTACTTTTTAATAGCTTGCAAAATTCAAATGAATTGCATCAGCCCTAAGCGTACTGACTCTGAATAGCAAAAATTATTACATTTTCTATGCACAGAATTGGAGGGGGGAAGGACACAGGAAATATGCAAATCATCGTTTAGGTTCTTTAATTCTGCATCCAAAAAAAAAAAAAAAGAGGGGGGGGGGGGAATAGTACAGGAGTAAGTGCCACTCCATGACAATACGCATAACCATACAGTGTTTACCTGTTTGCCATTGCCTGGCCTCTCCTCTCCTCCTTTTCTTGGTTTTTTGTTTTAGCACTCTATTAGTGCTAATGCTATCACAAATCTGCAGGTATTGTGTTGCATTACCGTTTTTGTTTTCTAATCGTGTATCCAAGTTATTTCCTAGAAACAAAAATTAGACACCATAAAAAACCTTAAACAACCTTTTTCTTTGGGATTGATGACTGGAATTGCACAGCAGCATATCTACTTTCTTAGAAAATATTGCCCATTCGTCTACAGTGAACATATATAAAAAAGAAGAGTGCCGATATAAAGCACTATCTAGCTTTGCTGGCAAAAGTCAAGAATATAATTTTTTAAACAATGATTAGTTTTCAAATATATTCCTTGATTTCTCGTACTTCTCGAGACATCAATTACTCATAAGTTATGCTGGTTGCTTCCTTTTATTTAACTTGGGTTTATGTCTTAACAACTATATTATCTGACTACAAAACCATACTAAAAAACCTGGCAGATCCTCCCAACTTCCCACCCACTCTGAAGGCCTCCGACACATCTAGAATGGTTTCATTTCAAAATCGTAGAGAAAGACTGTAGAGTCCTTCAATATATACTTTATGGATAAGTTTTTGCATTCACTGATTAGGAGAACTGACACATAAATGTATACATTTTCAAAGACAGAAAGTTAGTTTTAATGCTGTACCAAGCACAGTTACGTGTTCTTACCTGCCGCTTGACCATCTTCGTATCTTCTGGGTAGCCTTCTTTCATCTCCTGCAGAAAATGGTATTTTAGTCATTATAAATTAAAATTCTTTTTAAAGATGATGGCTTGAAAGTCTGATGAGAGAAAACTAATTTAGCTAATAAGTGACAGCTTAACTCTATCCAAACTGACGCGTGCAGTTCACAAGCAGTTCAGTATTTTGTAATTACGAGCCCCGGGAAATTAAAGTCACATCTTTGTGAATAGTTAATATCCACTAAAGCTGTCTTTGCACGCTTACCATGCTGACTGTCCTTCCTGCTTTGCATGATTAATATGCTTGTTTCTGCAAACTTTTAATCTCATACATAACCTCAGATACCAACCCAGAAACAAGGTTATCTGAAATCCAGTTTGTTCTTGAGATCGAAGTACTTTATCTTTCTGGAGTAGAACTAGGCAGATAAGACGACTTGTACCTTATCAGCCGCTCAGCACTCATCTATATGAGGCACTACAAAGTTCTGGGAGATGTAGAAGTAACACCTTAAGAGTATATTCCTCACTTTGGATTGAAAGTGTTTACCGCTATGTGCCACGGCTCTGTGGTTCTAAACCACTTTACCAGCCCAACTACTCAGAAATGCTGAGAAATATTGTATCAATGAATTTTAACTGACTTGCTTACTTAATTATAATGTAAACCATGGATGACCTGATACCTTCTTAATATACACTTAACATGTCAAAATCCAAGAAAAGAATATGAAATAAAAGAATATTCAGAATTCGCAATATATCCTGATAAGATGCCTCTACTATTTGAAGCATGACTGCAGATAACAAATTACATTTATTGTTTTTGTTTCTAACCTGAGGCACTAACAGACTTAAAACTGAAATCAGGAACACGTTTACACATTTATTCCTACTATGCCCTTTTAAAAGTTGTTTCCCCTTCCTCCTAGCTAATGTAAAATACTTAAGGCTATTTTTGTTTTCCTAAGATCTTCAACAGCCAACTTCAGCAACCATCAAAACCCACACATTCTGTACATCTGAGCTGGAATCAAGAACAGTATAAAAATTCTCCTAACAGCTTTCCTTTCTACTTCATAAAACTCAACATATAGCAATCCATTCATTATATGCAAGACAATCAACTTCTAAAGTAATCTGGAACTGCGTGACAGGCCAGCATTGGGAAAAAACCACCAATGTACAAACAGAACTGTTTTCTTCATATTGAACTCCGAACAAGATACGGACCTTATGCGTAAAAGGTCATGAACGATGTCAAAATAATTTTCTACATCATTTAATCAACTCCACTAACACTGCTAAAAGATCAGAAGGAGCTGTCTCCAAACCCCTAGGGCAAAGCAGGAGATTATCACATTTGCACAGAGATTCTGGAAGCTAGATTAGGGAGAAAATAATGCAAGGGATTTTCAGAAAATAAGCATACGGATTCCTACCGTAAGCAGCAGCCCAAGCAACAGGGACAAAAGTTTTATTCACGCCAGAGTCTTCAAGCTGTGTGTCTGGAAGTGATGTAGCTTCTTCTTCACCTACAATAACTTCCATATAAACTTCATCTGCTATTTCAGCACAGCCTGGATTAAAGGAGAAGAATAAATCTTTTAATTTTATTCTGCTCATCCTAAATTCTCCTTCATTTAATTTGCTCTCATTCTGATTGATACCCGTTATAAATTACTTTTCTTCCTTTGGCATTTAGAACCACCCCTTCCCTTAGGGGATCATTGTTTATTCAGACATTCCTTAAAGAGAGAAAACACATATCAATAAATATAAATCCAAAATAAACACCAACATAAATTCAAATATACAAACTTATAAACTTGCAACCGATGACATTTATTTGCCACTTTGCCAGAAAGCTGATTAAACAAGGCAATTCACAGTAGGAAAACAGAAAAATGAGAAATTTGACTAACCTCATTAACTTCATCCATGGACATGTTAAATTTAATATAAATAATGAAATGATTGCATACAGAATGCACAATGTGCATTTATCCACATCACTTTAAAATAATTATAGCCTGCTCTTTATTTTTAGAGAAGATGAACTTAGTTTTCTACTACTTCAGGCTGAAGAATCCTTCAGAAAAATTAAAAAAGTCCTTGAGAATGATGTTTATATTGTTGTACAAAACAGCATGAGAAACAAAAATGTTTCTTATTATGCTTACTAATATCTTCATCTTCCTGAGAAGAGTCCTTAACAGCCATGTAAACCATTTTTTCTCGCTGCATTCTACCAACACCTCCTTGTTCAATTACTCCAGCTACAGAATGTCCATTGTGAAAGTCACTCTCTGTGACAATTTCTGTCCCACCTTTAACAAAAAGAAGTTAAACACATTAAGTAAAAGAAGCCACTGTAAAGATTAATTTCAGATTTAAGTATTTTTTTCTTATTTACAACAAAGCTATTTCACAAAACTCCACGTAAATGTTTTGGCATCAATGTCTGTCATAGAATCATGCTGGTTTGATACTTTGGGGCAGATATGGAAGAAGTTCTCTCAGTGTCTCCTGATAAATTCAAGACTGAACAACCACTACCCACAAAGGATCAAGAGTCTTTTACGTATGCTAGCAGTGAACTCGGGCGCAACTAGAAACATACACCTACCCGTGCCCACCAAAAAAATGACTGCAATTCTAATCTGGCCCAGAATACAGCCTTTAAATTCTCTCTTGAGATGTGAAGAGCTAATTCTTATCCCTCTTCCCCTCCCCAAATCCTGATTCTTATTTTTCCCTACGAAGATTCTAATGTGAATGTCCCAGACTCATTACACAGGATTAAATAGTAACTTATACTGGGGTCACCCTTCTCAAACCACAAGAGCGCAACTGTTACTGCCAATTACTTCATCAACAAGAACATCACCTAGAGAGACGGCCTAGCTGGGATGTAAGGTGCTGCACAGAATCCCTGGAGACAGCACAATCTGAAGAGTAACCGTTAAAAAGAAGGAAAGGAGACCAACTGCCCACACAGTCCTGCTCCAGGTGACTAACAAGCTCTGGCCTCCTGACTGACTTAAACAGAGGCAAAAGAACAAGTTCCAGCCTGGAACTTGATACAGACGCTTGAGTCAGAGAGGGGTGACAGATAAATATTGATGCTTAGTCTGACAGTGAGAGAGAAGCTGCAGATTATGGCAGAACAAGCTAACACCTGGTACACTAAGAGTTCTTGTTCGCTCAGCTAGGTGGTTGAGTCCAAATCCGATATGTTGATCCATCACTCCATTTGTAAATGGGGGACGTTGCCAAACATCCTTGCCACTCAAGCCCATTTTTATAATTTTTGCCAAAAGTGGCTTTGCTGGGACATTTATCCAAGTAACTAGACTGCAAAGCAAATGGATGACACAGAAGAACAGCCCTTCACCCCACTTCCACGTACAAAAAAAACCAAGAGACTACTGCTGATGGGTAAACTTGAACCTTGGATACTCTTTGTGAAGACTGTCATCTCAGTTTCCGTATTCCTTAATGCTGAGCAGCAAACAGCCATTATCAACACAATCAGCTCTTTCCAAGTAGATGTACTCACCAGTAATGAACAGGGTAATTTGCCAGGACTACCTCCTGGCTATATCAAAAGCGCTGAGAGTAGCTCATGAGAACACCCCTGCTGTAAATCAGTTTTCAGCCATAAGAGATTCTGATTCTTCCTGCTGCTGCACGAGCAGTCTGTCCCTCAAGAGTGACAACCTATCCCCAGAGGAAGAAACCATATTTCAAGAGCAGGGCCTGGCAATTCACCTCGGAACTGGCAGATAAAACAGATGTCACAGCAGTTAAGGGATGTTAAGAAGCTGCTTCTCTAGATCCTTTCCCCATAGTCTCAGAAAGCACACAGTCTTCACCACCTCTTTTTCATACTTGAAAGGAATTAAGGAACAAATACTGAAAATCCCAGGGCCTCACAGAAACACTCACTAATCTTCAGCCAAATCAGGTACTGCCTATTCCAAATAGGAGAGAAAAATACATTAATCTACTTTGGCAACCTTCTGAAGGACTTGATTAACAGGCTTCAAAATCTACACTGGGGCAAAAAGATACTGAGGAGCTCATAAGACAGTCTTACCTAATTCTGAACCTACTCTGAGAGACAGAGAAAACCAAAGACAACTACCCTCTTAGCTAGCAGTCTGATCATCCCATGAACAATCCTTTTCTGCCATTAATTTGAGCTGGAAAGATTACTTGCTTCTCAGAGAAGAAAAATAAAAGGCATCACACAGCCAAAAATTTCCTGAAGCAGCAGTTCATGCTACTTGAAAAACAGCACCAGAACTGTTACTAATTGGAGGACTTTGATGATCTAATTCCCAGTTTGAGATTGCCACAGCACAGCCAGGCCAATCTGACCAGTCCATGGGAGATGATCACCTTTCTCCACTCCAGGAAGAACAGAGTCATCCTGATGTGCCCTGTGAATGGCTCTGGGGCTCCTGGCCAGACACCTTCCAGTGAGGCAGAGTTTCAATACGAAAATGCAAAGGGTAAAGTGGAAAGAGCCAGAGGTTTCAGCTCTGAGAACAAGAACAGAGCATGGCTTAGCTGTTCGTGCACTTGCAAAGCACTTGGAAGTGCTGGATCTATCCTTTGCAAAAGAGAACTGCAGAGCAATCCTGAGTTTCTTGGTTAGGTTTTGAAATGACTGCATGCCTAAAGCCCCAGCAATCTTCCTCTCTCTCTGCATCAAGGCCACCAAAGACTGTTCAGCGAGAGAAATCCACTCTAGAGGCTTCTCTGTGCTGACACACAGTCTTGCAAGATCAAGAGAAAAGTAGCAGCTGAAAAACAGCTGCAGACACCCAACCACTTCTACACTCAGGCTTTGGTTGCCTGAAAAGAAATATTGCTAATCAAAAAACAAACTTGAGGCTAATACACACCCCATATTTACCACACAGGGGCAGCCTCCACAAATGTCACATTCTATAAAACATTCCAGTCAGTGGATTAAAAACATGAAATTAAGAACAAACAAAAAGACCCTGAAATACTTCAAACTACTGGAAGAATACACAGAATTTAAAAGGTACCTATTTCAACATCATCTTCAGCTTCAGCTTTAAATATGTACACTTTGATAACTTCTGAACCAAAACCGTCATCTTTAGCAACATCATCATTTGCCACCTCGGTACTGATTTTTAAGGGAGTGCTTCCCATATGGTCCAGTTTTTCTCCAACATCATCCACTGTAAAGATAAGAGAATAATAATGAGGTTCAAACACATTTTTTAAAAGTCAAAGTAATCAGTAGCATGATTTTCTCCACTATTATCCCCATGCATAATAAAGGTTTGTATTCATAAATGGCCTTTACAGAACAGTTCATCTCAAGATATTTAAAAGAGATTCCAGAAGTGCAGTATGCATTTTATTGCAACTCAGGAAACACAGCAAGAATTACAGAATGAAGAACACAAGAGTGAGCTTGTCATCAAAGAGAACATGGTAATTGGTTATGTCTGAAACTATTACACTTAGAAAGCAAAAACGTATCAATAAGTAAAATTAAACATCTATCAAAAATGTTAAAAATTAACCCAGAATTGCCTGTTATAGTCTAAGAGTCCCCAAAAGTTTCACTACTCCAAGATACTTGTGGCTAAACTTTAGTAGCTGAAACTTATGAAGAGTGATGACTCGGAGCATATTCCCAGCGAAAGAAGTGTGCATCCAAAACTTGACTACATCTTCATCCTAAAAGAAGTTATGATTTTATCCACTTTATCACTTGAAAACATACAAATGAATGAAGATTATTGTATAATATGCAGCTGATTAAAAGATGCAGTGAAAATAAATCCAAATACTACTATGTGAAATTGACTTCTCATTCTTTATGCACACAACTTAGTCACTCTGATTATTTGGTCTATATATTCAAAATGCTCATTTTACTTATACAACAAAATTTATATGCAAACTATTAAAAGTGTAGAAGTAACACTATTTTGGTAAAAAGGGTATTCACACAGATATCCATATATATACCCCAAATTGCCAATACGGAGGCCACTGAACTAAGTATCCTTCTGACATATGTATTGTCAACACACTTCTTTCTCTCGGTGGATAAAATTAGCTCCTGTGCAGATGGCCAACACAAACCTGTGCAATGCTTAACACCCACTGAAGTCCCTTAAATAGAGAAGAATTCCACAAAATGTAAACAAAATCTGAATTTAATATATTTCAGGGAAGTTGCGATTTACTGCATACGTAATATTAAAATATGCGCATACTAGGTTAAAAAAAATAAAATTAATATTCAAGTGATAATAGCTGTTTCATGACTAAAAATAAAGAATGTGGACACTGAGGTCTCTGATGACTGAGGAAAGTCAGGCTTACCTCAGGACGGCTGCAGTGGTTCCCAATCCCCCTCTAAGTTCCCTGCCCTCAGTGATGGTTACTCTTAAGACCTGCTTTTAAATTCTGCCTGGCATATCGAGCTGAGCCAAAGTTAGTTTAAGCTTTTCTTAATACTCCAGGCAGTCACACGAGGTGGTTCAGAACCTGCTGGAGAAGAAGCAGATGCCTTTCCTGCAGCAGGGTCGGAATCCACCACAGCAATCCCAAACTAAGCTCTTCCCGCTCCTTGACAGGATTCTGGGGAAACACCTATCCAACTAACACCGGTTTTCATCCCCACATTGAGGAACCTTATTTCTATTTCACAGACATGAGTCTGCAACAGGAGAGTACAGAAGTTATTGAGGACAGACCTAGATATAATGTAGGTAAGTACAAAAAAGTATTTAATTTTAGAACCTCTGAAAATTATGTGTTTTGATGAAAATTAAATGGAAAACATTACAAAAATGCTATGTTTAAGCTGTTTCTTTTTGTAAATAAGAGATTAATTGCATTGCCAAAAAATATCAAACTTGGATCAGCAGAAAAAAATCAAAATTTCCTCAGGAAAAGGGGTTTTGTTTTTTAATTAAAAACATTCTAAATCTCTATTAAAATAAATGTCAGCAACATCAACACCTTAATCTGTTAAAATCTGACATGTACTGCATGGTGTTCACGTTACCTTGCAGGACAGTGAGAACAGCAAGACTATGAACACCACGGCTGAGAAAGCCACTACAGAGAACTTGGTATATTCCTTTGACACTTCAGTTTACGAGCCTTTACGAGGTTATTAGTACATCTTTATATCCAGTACGGACGGTTACTGCATCTGCTCATCGGAAGTTTTTATGCTGCCACAATGGAGTGATGAGGAGAGAGGATTATGCGCCCTCTACTAACAGGAAAAGGGAAGATGCTAAAAACACTTATCTTGGAAAAAACTATTTCCATACATTTACTGGTTGAATTTATTAAAGACCATTTTCTTTTCTGCATGGCTTTTATCATTTATAAAAGCTTCTTATCCATATTCTTCAAAATGATACACATACATCTCATTTTAGTACAATTAACATTTTTCACTGCATGTATCAGTCTTTGAAGGACTGGAGGTAACTAATAGTACAAAGCAGGAGTGATTATATATATATGGCTGTATGACTAGACATGCTGCCAAACCGCAGAAAGAATATTTAAAGGCTGGGTAGAAGAAATCACTAATTGTAAGCTGTTAACTCTAATTTTAGAACTGGTAGGTGGTAGTAAAGTTATTTTCAAATCTGCAACTCAACGCCAACTTTTTCTAAACTCATAAATTTTATAAACATAACACATTATGAGTTTAACATAGAAAATAAATATTTCTGTACTGGAAGGTTGTTTAACAACAGCAACTTCCTACTGAACACAGGAATAATCACATATATGTGATAAGAAGTTCTCTTTATGGCAAAAATTTCCAACTATTAGTATTGGGTGACAACGACTGTACACCACTATGTATCTGATGAAATAACATAAGGAAAAAACCATACAATTTTAGATAGTTGCCTTACCAAGACATCAACTGCAATACAACAAAGATTACTTAAAGAGAAAAAATGAGGAATTTTTCAATTTTACAATTTTTGTAAGAATAAATATTTTCAGCCAGAAATAGAATGTAAAATACATGAATACAGCACGTATACTCACATGCTGTGTTTTACCATTTCAAGTGAAGCCCCCAAATCTTCAATATCCTTTAAAAAACAGGGAGCCTTGTCTTAGAGGGGCAAACTTAAATTATTTTTAAAATTAGTGGTTACCCACACCATCAACCATCCTGTGTATTTTCAAAGATCTTCAGTCTCTACAATTTAAGCTCAAGTAATGGAAACGTATCAGGAAGCCTGTGTATCCAGGGCCTCCGAAATCAATTCTCTAAAAATGCAAAAGTGTAATCTAACAAAATTTGAGAAATATAAACTGGACTGAGAAAAACTGATACAGACTGTCATTTGTAACATGTTGTCTTTTGTTTCAAATACCCCAACAACAAAAGACACAGAATCGCCAATTGCTATTGCTTAAATTGCTGTCTTACATGAAGTAAATTTCATGGTTTCAATCTGTTTTTTAAACACATTTAGCTAAGGGGAAAACAATCAACACAGCAGGACATGTAATCTTTGTCAAGTTCCACAATATTAAGACTTTTTTTAAAAAACAGATCACAAAAATATTCTATTGTCTAAGTAATATGACTTCAAGCACAGACTGCTAACCCATCAGTGCTAAATTATCTGATGACTTTTCCCAGTGATAGTTCTCAGGAACAGGAATGCTTACTTTATGTCAATGGAATATGAAAGTGTCTTCCCGATCTGACTCATCCACCAGAAGCACTACATATTATTATCTTGTCACTTAAAATTAACTGAAAAAACACAACAGAGAACCTTTATAAATATATGCTGAATCCTCCTGAATAAACAAGGTTTAAAGGAAAACTCAGCACGCTTCCAATGTTAAACTTACCTTACTTCGCTGTTTTCAGGTGTGTGATGTCCAGATTCACCGTGGATTGCCAGCTCCCAATTCATGTGATGCCTCAGCATGCACTATGCTGGTGATATCACACCCACCATAGGAGCCCACAGGGATAACACGAGGGCAAGATAAGTCCCGTGGTTTTACAATTTCTCATATTTTTCTAATGTCTGATATACTTATTTTATATCCCATAGGTTACAATATAGGAGTATTAGTATTAAAATGTTTAGCAAATTATGTAACACTGTACTGTAATATACTAAAAAGGAGGTGGTGGTGGAACAGTACCTTACCCCTAAAGGCCAGCTCCAGTGTTGTTCTTTGGTGGGTATGAGGTCACCAACATAGTGCATGCAGGGCCAACACACGGATCGGGAGCTGGCAATCCGCTGTGGGTCTGAATATCGCAAACCTGAAAAACAAAAAAGGGTACGCTTTAAGCTACACGTGTGCTAACTCCTCCCTGGCAAAACGGGATATGCTGTTCATAATTTTCCCATCTCAGTACGAGAGGGATGGGTGCATGATCACACCATATGCATTGTTTGTATTCCTTTTTAACAAGTTCCTTTTAAATGGGTATTCTGGAGATTTAAAACAAGGGACATGCATATCCCGTGACATACATTGTGAATGTATCAAAGATTTTTCAGTGTTATAAGGCTGATTTAAAAAAAGCTGAATTTGTCTGCACTGAGATAGCAGAGTGGCGATAATCTTCTAGCGAGAATTTCCAATTACAAAGCCATAGGCAGCTAGTTTACAGAACTAGCAAGACAAACATTATTTTCCAAATAGTATTTACACAAAAATATAATTACCAATAGTGCATAGAATATCTACATGGGAATGCTGTCTTAAAATGGTAAAAAATCACCCTTCAGTATATTTAAACCCTAACTCCCAACAAAAGAGTAAGTTAAAATTTCACTCAGCTCAGCTTTACACCCTAAAATGTAGTATTTTAAGTTCCCAGAGTGTGTTGCACAGAACAGCTGGCGGCATTCCCTGAGGGCATATCTGTAGTTTTATGTAAAGTCCCTCCTTTTTAGATGCTAAATATCATTAAAAGGCAGCTAAGAAGTATTTTGAGATTCTTTAAAACTGTCACTTTGATGTGATTTACATTATAAGAAAGTTCAACAGTCCTACGTACACACCCCAAAAGAAATAGCATAAAATTAACTTTCTGCAACATTTACTGAACATTTAATTTGACAATTTAAAAAAAGTAAGTAAATATAAAGGGTTTTAAACTGCTTGATAAACCGAGGCATTTTACCTATCCTATACAACAAATTATCCTCACATAACAAATTCAAGGCTAATTTAAGAAACATCTAAAAAACCCCAAAAAAGAAAAACTGCGTAACATCGATTCATTTTTGCTGAGGAAAAAAATCAAGAGCAGATAGTCTGTTGGGTCAAGCTGGCATACCCAGCATAATACAGCCTCAAAACTCAGGAGAGGTAAGAGACAGCCTTATCTAAAATGATTACTTAAAATTCTAGATTAATGATGTAGCTTCCAACTGTGATTGATCAAGCATATCATGATTATACATATATATAAATCTATTTCGTTTAAAAGTAGGTCTCAAACTGGCTTCGAAACATCGCAAAAGCCATTGGTAGGCTTGAGAACACCTGACAAAACTATACATATATCAGACACAGATGGAGTCATCAGGTAACTGTTACTGAAAGTTTAAGATCCTCTGGTCTAAGTGCAGTGATCATCATTATCAATCACACTTATCTATCTTAGAAGGAATTCCAAAGACGACTTTACTTACAATTACAAAGGTGCAGTTGGAAATACCGCAGTTACAGAATACAACTCATCGTAAGTACTCTGTCAGAAAGGAGGAATTTTTTCAGTGAAACAACTGACTGTAAAAATGGTGTTCCTTTATTTACAAGCACACAGGAATGTTTCTGTTGTAGGTCTAATTTCCTGTTAGACTGAGGTTTTTTTGGTTCTTTTTCCAAAAAACCCCTTTTCACTTCTATTAGTGACATATGGCATTACAGTAATGACAAAAAAAAAAAAAACTGGTGTCCATCCTATACTGAACAAAAAATAAATAAAAAAAATGTATTTTGCATAAGGGACATAAATTCTATGAAATATTGAAATCATTATCACTCATCAGTCATGTCCTCTGTCTTGAAATTGTTAATAAATGCAGCTTGCTGTGAACAGATTGACACTTGGACACACTTGGCATTGACATTTTTTTTAACATATTGATTCTGACTAAATAAAATCTGTTTTGACCTACTCACATTTCAGTAACTAGCTTGGAGAAGTCAAAAATCTAAAACAAACTATCATACATTTTGTCAAATTTGTGTGATAAAAACTGGTATCTTGAGTATAATTGAACCACTCAAGAAACATAATATACCTGAGGTCATTTCAGTAGCTCTCACTCAACAAGTAGCATAGAACCATACAGTTTCCTCAGAGTTGAATGCTGTGTGGAAACTGAAACGGACAGCCACTTTCCACTACTAGAAAGCCGATCAATTAATGCACACATCCCCTTAACGGCAAGTTCAGTCCAGAACAGCACAACATACAATAACATGCCTACTGTAATTTTTAGTATAGCTAAACAAAAAATATTTTGTGGATGCTTAAGAGACAACCTTATGAGTCAGCTATCTTCAAAACCTATTTCTTTGTTGGATTCTACTGATTAAATCCAACTTGTTATTTTTACACAAATCTAGTATGGTAATATATACGTGGAATATTTAATTTTAATGTGTTTTTCTTAATTTTCAGGATTATCTCATTTCAGAAACACACACATACACACTCATTAACCCAACAGCATGAATGTCATTCTCTTTCTTGCTCTATCAGCGATAATGGATTTTTCATCAAGAAACCCCAAATCTGGACACCACGGATTAACTGGGCAACAGACTATTATTTGAGAGTTCCAGTACAGAATGCAGCAAAAGTCCAGCTATAATAATTTCTCCCCACCACACCACTTCTACTTCAGATAATCTCCTGTCCATATCTACCTTTGTTTAACTTACAAGATATCATTAAGTAGTCTTCAGATGTACTCTTGCCATCATCATCGTCTTCTGTTTTTATAGTCATCGTGGAGCCAGGAACAGTACCAGCTGCTTGAATGACTGCTTCAGAATCTGAGTTCGTTACAAGAACTTCTTCTGAAACCATTGTAGGCGAGTTGGCTCCTGACACAGAGTCTTGCACCACATGCTCCAAATGTCCATCAGGACCTGTCACAAGGTCAGCCACAAAAACCTGATCGGGAACTCTAACGGTTTCAGTTATTAGATCAGAAGTCAAAACATGATCACTGGTATCTAAAGCTTCTTCAATAGCAACATCAGCTTCCAAAACAGAATCAGGAACAATTACACCTTCTGTTACAACATCAGTTTCAGTGATGATGTCAGGTCCTTGGACAACTTCAGCTGCTAAGCCATGATCAAGAGTTATTCCATCATCGGTAACAACATCAGAAACTAGGACAGCTTCGGGGACTGATACAACAATATGGTCTCCATCAATATGAGCAGTGCCAGCCATTCCAGCCACTAAGAAACAATTATCAACGAGGAGAAAAATGTTAAAATTATTGCATTAGCAATCCCTTTATCTAAGGAATGGAATAACTGTATAGGTAAGTTAAACATGGATGTACAAATCTGTTACTTTTCAACAATCCACATTTTGCATTTCACCCGATAAAGACTATCCAAAGCAGCCTGTATTCTTTAAATTAAGAAAAACAAAACATGTCACTTCTTTACAATATAATGTGGAGTTTGCCCCAAATTTAGGTTTTACCATGCCGATATGTTAAAAACTACAGGCCGGTTTGCAATTTCATCTGTTTTTAAATTCCAGTTAGAAAACATTTGATTACAGCAGCAATTTGAACCTTCACAGAATTCTTGCATGACACTGGAAGTGTGGTACAAGACATTAACTGCTGTTACAATAAAAGGACTCTCATCATTTAGACTGCATGAGCCTTGATAAAAAATAAATACTCAATTGGATGCAATATTTATAGTACAATTTCCAACAACTTGCCACGTTGCAAGGAATGGCTAGAAGCAGAAGCCTGTGTTTCATTAACAGACTTGACTGGCCAGTAGTATTTGCAGAATGCTTTTCTATACATAAAAAAGAATGCACAGTGAATTATTTTAATGCACACATAAATATCAGTTTTAGCCTTAATGAATAAAACACTCAAGGAAATGGTTCTTATCAGAATGAAAAATATATTCAAATTATTCAGCATTGCATTTTAAATGCAATTATTTTGGTACACTCTGAGGGATATTAATTCATGTTAGAACAGAGACATGATCCTTCCCAACACTTGAGAAGGTCATCTCCTGTCACAATGCAGAAATGGAGACCGGCAAAGAAAAAGAGTGGAGATTTCTTGCTGTCCGTTCTCTAAACCTTCAAAATTGCTGAGGTTATTTAGTACTGCCACCAAAAGAAACAGTATTCATTTAAAAAAAACCCACAATTTAGAAACCAGTTTTCTTACATCAGTAAAGTCCCAGGACTGATGTTCTTGGCAAAAGACTTCTAAGCACATGTGAACATGCAGATTTAGCTAAATCTGTAAATTGTTGTCTACATAGTAAGTTATCTGTTGTCACACAGACAAAGACCTTATTTCCCACCACATTCACTGAAATACCCTAAAGGAGAACTGGAGACAGTAACCAAGGTAAGGACACAAAAGTTGGGCTGTTGTTTACATCCTGTACTGGGTGTTATTTACATCTCCTGTATGATGGAGATGGAACAACCAGTCAATGTGCTTTCAAGCAGAAGCACACGTATCACAAAACTGTTAAGCTCCAGACAACATCTTCTGTCTCATATTTGTCTCACTTTGGGACACAGACTTAACTTTGGTATTTTGGAATAAGTGACTATTTCAAGATCAGCAACTAAAGTATACAAAGACACATGAAACATCCCATTAAATTTCGAATTTTCTCAAAAAGTCATGCAAATAGCATTATTATATTAGTCAATCCTACATCTTGATATAATTTATAATCATACAACAAAAACCTGAAAAACAGTCTCAATTTCATTATTTTTAATAGTTAAAACGTTTACCAAAATCCTGCATAATCATAGTGTGAGGCATTTTGGATTCTTGTGTTTGCAGTCCAAGACTTCCACCACCTGGATCCATATTCAGCTAAGTTCATTCACAAATAACTGCAATAAAAGCAAAATCAGAATTTATGTTGAACAGTGTTATTGTGTTGACTAGCTTTACTGGATTAATGTGTTACACTGACAAACACAGAAAAGTATTTATCCCAAACGTCAAGAGAAAAGCATGCAGCACTTCATACAATGAACTTGGCTTTAGTCTTTTGGGTTTATACTTTTTTGACCTAACATCCTGAAAATGCTTCCATCCGTAAGTGGTCCTAAGTGTCATCAAAAGAATTACACATGCGAGTGAAACCAAACAAGTCAGTAATTCCTGGTCAGGACTTAAAAGGGTTTTTTTTTATGGAAGTCTTTGGTTACTGCCTGGCCTAGAACAGTTCTGTTTATATTCTGTAGAATTTAACTGGAAAGTGCTTTCTAGTTACCTTCAGCATGCAGAGCTACAGACTTCCAATGTTATTTCCAGAAGCCATACGCACAAGAAATGCCTACACCTTCAATTTCCCCGCTGCAAAGTGAACACTAAAATATTTTTGCAGGTTTATGAGACTATCTCCACAGGGGAACAACTCACCGACTGACAGCAGAGATCTTACCTGCAATACTAGCAGTAGCACCAGGCCATAAGAACAAAACAGTGGTTGTGCGTGAACCCCTCTGTATCATTTAACAAGTCTGACAAAAGGTCTGGTAGAAAATGTAATCAGCCCTCCATTAGATTTGCATGCACACTACAGAGCTACCCATTATAACAGCAACAGCTAAGCATAAGAAAGGCCAACTTATTTCAATGTCTCCATTGCCACGATACTGAGGAAACGACAGTGCTCAACAGACTTCTGTGCTGACACCGCTATTCACCATTCCACTGTTAGGGCTGTATTACCCATATTGGCTGACGTTTTATTTCAAAACTGTCAGGTTATTCCAGAAATCTTATCTTCCAACACGGTCCCTTCTGTGCTACCTCATTCCTACTGCCAGGGAAAAGCTGGTCCTAGACAGCTCTCTGTAATATCCCTCTAAGAGAAAAGCGATCTTTTAAAGCTTCTGATAGAACAGACCCACCAACACTTTGTAAACTCCCCACTGTTATCCTTCACCTTTACATCTTCAGCTTGATTTTGTTTTTTTTTTTTCTTTTGTTTTTGACAGCTGCTTTGTTGCTTTGGCTCTTCTAATTCCCCTTAATGCTTAGGGGCTTCTGTTTCCCCATTTCTCTTTTGTCAGACTTGCCTATTTTCCTCCCTCAATCTTTTAAAATCCCAGCAGTTCCTCAAAATTCACCACACAGCCATGCCAGTATTACTTTGAGTTTTACTTCTGAGATTCTTGCATTCACTAAGTGCAATTCCAATTACATCCAAGAATCGAGCTTCTCCCTAAACTCCATTTTACCAGGATCTCCATTTCTGGTATCACATCTGTCTTGAGATTGCTGAATCTCTTAAGAACTTGCTTTCAGAGAAAGAGAAAGCACATAACATTTCTTTGACAGAGTGTTTCCATCAAATACCAGAGAAGGATAAATTAGCATTCCACCGTATTATCTACATTGCTACCGAAACAGGTGAACACATTTCCCAAGCACTTTATAGGTAACGGCAAAAACATTTTTAGACTAAGTGCAAGTCTCGCATACTGAAAAAGCTGTGATTATAACTTGTATGAGGGTCTGACAGAGAAACACTTTCCAGATGTTTCTCACGAAATTTAAAAAGTCAGAAGTTTTCAGAAAGACTTTAAAGCTTCCCTTTAAAGAGGACTGAAGACTTTGGGTCTTACGAACCGATTAAGTTTGGAGATTTTGAATTATTTTGCCATTTGCTGCAACTCAAAACACCTTCACACAAGTTCTCAGCGCAGATGAAGTGGCTCTATGATGAAGTGAAACAGCCACAGGAGTACAGAGCAAGCAAGGCTTTCATAGGCGAAAAATCTCTAGCTTAAAAAAATTTGTGGCACAAGACTAAAACCTTGTACCTTCCTGCCCTCTCATACCCAACAATTGGAAATAAGTGACAGTATCACACAGGAAATGAAGAGTTTGCAATGAAATCTACCACAACAGCAGTAAGAGCTAACATAGACAAGCAAGGAGAATAATAATATAAGCCAGCTGTAAGAATAAATGGCTTAAGCACCTGAAACCTCTGAGATACCTCCAAGCCAGAATCAAGGGACCCAGAAAGAGCCAGGACCTAATGCAACTCACACTACCGCACTAATCCAGAAGCAATCTCCGCTTTGGAGTAGACATGACGTGAATTTCTCTTAAAGCATGAAGCTCTATCAGCAACAGGCACTAGACTCCATGGTAAAAGACCCTAAAAGCAACAGATGGAAGCATATTAACGCCAGTTACTATGGTACTGCAACCCTTGTGGCTCACCAGAACTGACAGCACTGGATCCTTGGTACCAAACCAAGTCGCCATCGAGATGCCGGCACTCAGTGCCAAGGGCCATGCTGCCCTGGGCTGACCCACCGGATCAGGCGGTCTCTAACCAGGCTTGGTCTGCCCGTGGAAATGTTGCGCCAGATGTCATTCGAGCCAGGCAGAAAGCCACCAAGGCGAGCTGATGTGAAAAGTCAATTTGGTGCTGCGTCGCTTGGACTCCTTTTTTATCATCGCTTCAGCGGGTGATCGGAATGCCTACACTGTGCAGGCCAAGACACACGGGCCAGGTGGATATGGATTTTTAATATGAAAAAATACAAAACAGAGTAAAAAATAATCTTAAAGAGAAAGAAGAAAAATGTGGAAAACGCAATCCATGCTTACTGCATCTTCATTGTCAAGGAAGAAGATTATTCTTTCTTTTATACTCGTGAAATCCTGAAGCGAAGGAAACAGCCAGCAGTCCACAATGATGGCAATTTCAAGAAAAAGTCACTGATCCACCCCAAGGAGGTTTCAACTTAACTGAGAATACAAAAGAACCAAAGAACTTGCATCACCTAGTGCCACTATCATACTTTCAACACTTCTCCCTGTATTTCTGCTCAAACCTACTTCTCTCAAATTGTCTTTAAAACCTACAATACTAATTCTTGGGGGCGACACCACCTTAACATTCTTCTTGTAGAGCTAAAAGAATTCCCCAACGTAATTTCTTGATGGTGCCATAACAGTGTGAGTTAATTCCACAGACCAGCTAGTACTGTAAAAACACAAGTCAAGTGTTATCAATGAGGACAGCAGTCAAAGATTTAACTAACTCAATTCCACTCATACAAATTTCAATGTAGTTTTAAGTTTTAGCTCCAAAATCAAACTCTTTTACCATTGTAAGAAATACAAAGCAGCTTCAGAACCTTACTGCAATGTTCTACCACCCCTAAATTATTGTCACAGTCATCTGAAACTCTTATGGTAGCTAACGAATACTTGCTATTACAAAAGATACAGCTCTAGACCATAAATTGCTTAATTTAATAGAGCAATTTCAGAACTAATGTAATACTCTACAATTTCCTGACCACAGCCTTTACACTCAGATAATCCTTCTTTTTTAAATGTAAATGGATATGAAAAATTATCTTAAATTATATCAATCTGAGATTACAGGAAGAATATGCTAGGTTTTTCTTCCTTCTCAACAAGCAATATAATTTATTTTCAGATTATATAATTAGATGCCCAGATATATTACATATTGTGCTACACAGCAAATTCAATACAAAGTACAACTATAATTTTAATTCAAATTAAAATTTCTGCAAGGAAAGCAAATTATCACTAAAAGGAGTATTTTCCCAGTAGCCAACAGGATGATAAAAATTATGAAATTTAAGGTACTATGAGTACCTTAAACTTCCACTAAAACCAGAGATGGATGATGACACACTAGCAATAAACATGCTGAAGCTGTACCTCGGTTGATGCAGCTGGTATCCAACCATTACTTAGGTATATTCTTCTAAACCCTCAATGCAAAGGGCAGAGTTGCATAAACTCTGCAATCAAAGATTTTTATTTTTTTTTAATACCTACTTTTGGGTCTTAAAGGAATGCGGTGACAGCAGGAAAGCCCTTTACTCCTAATGCTGGAACAATTAACAACAGGTAAGCCCATAATTCTGCTGCAACTGGATATTTTTGCTCATAGATTTCAGTAATGCAGATTATTTACTTTCATACAATAATATGTATGCAAATCCTATAATTGGAAACAGCAAAAAATGTAGCACAGTGATTAACTGTGGTTCCTTCTGTACTACACCATGTTATATACCCATACAATTGTAGAGGTGGTTCAATCACACATTTTAAAAAATGACAGAGAAATAAGGCAGAAAGGCACAAGTCTATATACAGTCATAACGCTGAACTTACCCATACCCCTCTTGCCTCTATGTATTAAGATCTCAAGTTTTTCCTCTCAATTCCCCTTCTCCTCTGTGTATGTATAAGAAAATACTGTGAAAATGCTTTATTAGCACCAGCTAATAAAATAATATCACTTCACAACATTCTGTTAATATTTTATTTTGGTTTTTTACTTATAGTAAGCTATCTTGTACCAGAAAGGAGTACATTATCATCAGATCCCAAAACACAGAATTTCATGAAACCTAAACTGAGACTCCCAGAGCAGTGTCTCAGGGATCAATTTTTAAAATATGTATGTATCTGATATTGTTTTGCTTTTTTGAAAAATATAGTTCTCTCCCTAACTAGCTTCAGGAGAAGGATGATTTTAACCTATTTCAGTTCTTTATGCCAAAGCTCTTCCTTAGACGGGGCTCAGCTGAGATCAGGCAATGAATTTTAGAGTGAAAAAAGGGATATATGACCTCCCTGTCTACATGCAAGAACACTACTGTAATTTACTATTGTAAACTTTTTTTAAAAAAAAAATCAAGGATAACAGTTGGCAGTTTGGGAATACCTAAGAACAAGTACTTGTAATAGCAACACTCAAATGAAAAACTGGTAAAGGCCCAGCTCCTTATAAACACTGCTCTTAGTATACACGTTGATTTATTCTTAGCTTACACTTCCCATAA